TCAATGTTTTTCTATAAACAGCTCTGATTTATTGATTCAATTTGAATATTGTGTTTATTTAAATAGGTGTTTGAATTACATGTTTTGAGCCCTCATAAAGTAGTTTCAAACTACAAAATAATTAGAAAATATGACTTTTTTTGCTTTTTAGGGGATAGCATCTTCATTTGATATCTTTAAGAAGTGAAATACATGCATAGCTAGTGCTTTAGAATTGTAAGTGCTTCAGACAGTAGCACTGAAGTTTGATGATATGTATTTGTACACAGATTAGAACATTAGACAATTTTATAATAGTATTCTTCCCAAAAATCTTTTCTAGAATGGTTGAGCCTGTGCCTTAACATTTTTCCTGATCTTTGAAGCTGAAGGGCTCAGCAGTTGATGAGTGTCCAGACATGCAGAGAAAATCTAATTAAGGAAGGAGAAAGTCACAGTAACTCAGGTGAAAGAGGTGTTTGATGATCGATATGATTCCTAGTGGAAAACTAAGTGAAGCCTTGGAGGAGAGAGAGGCTGGTGAGAGCTCTGTGCTCAGATTAGTAAAGGGTTTTCAGTGTTTTTGCAATGAGTCTCTTGGCTTTAAAAAGATTAAAGTATTCTATTTCTTACCTCCTGGTGGATAGCTAAATAATCTTCATCAGGTTCATCTTCTTATTTAGCTTCTCTAGGATCACGAATAATAGGCTCAAAGACCTTTAATTATGGTTAGAATCCACTTATGAGTGAATACATACCGTGTTCCTCTTTTTGGGTCTGGCTTACCTCACTCAGTAAAGCGTTTTCTATTTCCATCCATTTGCATGCAAAATTCAAGATGTCATTGTTTTTTACCGCTGAGTAAAACTCTAATGTGTATATGTTCCACACCTTTTTTAACCATTCTTCTATTGAGGGGCACCTAGGCTGTTTCCAGGTTCTGGCTATTACAAATAGTGCTGCTATGAACATAGTAGAACAGATTCTAAAACTTCCACAAAATGAAAATTTATAACCATGTGCATAAGAAACAGAGAAACTTCACTTTTAATGTGTGTGTGTGTGTGTGTGTGTGTGTGTGTGTATTGTGGACAGATCACAAAAGATAAAAGGAAATTAAATCCTTAAGCCAAACATGAATGAAGATGTTGCTATTTTATAAAATTTTGGGGTCTCTGGAAGTTTTGGAAATAAGTTTTCTACTTTTTTCTAGATTTATTTAGTATAAAAGGGAAAGTATCCATGAATTAACTGCATCAATATTTATTCTGTAAAATGTATGCAGTGCCAGTAAGGTTCTGAATAGTGGACACACAGAAGTGAATGAAGCATTTTCTTTATTTCTGGAGCTTTTAATATATAACCTTTAAAGAAATTTTTAGTTTCATATGATATGATATCTAAAATATCAGTATCAACAACAACTGAAATGATCATCACCCACAAAGTCCCCTAACACTTAGGTCTGGAAGGGGTTCATAAGCCAAGAGCACAGGCTGTTCCAGGAGGCCCAAGATGGATTCCCAGCACCCATTACGGCTCACAGCCATCTGTAGTTCCAATTCTAGGGGCTTTGACATCTGTCTCTGGCTTCCCCAGGCACCAGACACAGACATGATGAACAAACTTACATGCAGATGAAACACATAAAACGTGCACATAAAACAAAATAAAATTTAAACAAACAAATAGACACCTTAACACTTGGAGTTTCAGTTCACGGAAATTGCATAATCGTAATTTCATGAAACTGGCTCTTGTGTTTATAGAAAGTAAATTCAAAGGGAATGTTTTTATCACCATGGAATGATGAAGATTGGTCTTCGGGGGTGCTCAGGCTGTCTCGGTCACTGTTTTGTTTCCGTTCACTATGATCAAAGAACTCCTAAAGCATTTAACTGGGGACTTACAGTTTCAGAGAGTGAGTCCATTATTATTATCCTCATACCTCATAGTGAGCACATGGTGGCACTGGAGCAATTGTTGATAGTTACAGTCTCAGCCACAGGCAGAGAGAGAGAGAGAGACAGACAGAGAGAAAGACAGAGAGAGACAGAGAGAGAGACAGAGAGAGACAGAGAGAGAGAGACAGAGAAAGAGAGAGAGAGAGAGAGAACAGAGAACAAACAAGAGAGATCACTTGGGACTGACCTGGATTTTTGAAACCTCAAAGTCCACTCCCAGTCTCCCAGTGACACACTTCCTCCAACAAGGCCATACCTTCTCATGCTTCTCCTCTCAAACAGTTCCACTCCCTGGAGTCTAAGCATTCAAATATTGGAGCCCATGGGGGAAATTCTTGTGCAAACCACCACACTGACTTTAGGTGCATATCAGGAATAAGTGTGAAGTCAAGGAAAGGTTCCATTGCTTTCCATGTGCTAAGGACTAGTCATAGTTCATGAGCCCAGGGCCTGTTTGAAGTGCATGGCCTTTAGAAGCGTGAGATCCCATACTCCAGAATTCAGTTCCTGGTATGTACAGTTTCATTCTTCTCAAGGGAAGTGGGAAGCTTTGAGGAAAGAAGGTGCTGCGTGTGTTTTATGGGTGAGAGGAAAATGTCTGTAAGCGAGGGGAAAGTTCCAAGGCGTTCCTGGAATCAGTTACTGCCTCCTGTGGGAGCCACTGATGAGCTCAGCTGGGCTGAGAAATCTGTGCAGATGCCAGAGGCTTCCGTGATTCTCAAACACAAAGGGAGGATCACAGACTGAGAAGCCAGCTGAAGGGCACGGGCAGGCGTTTGTGGATGCCTGCACCTGGGTACCCGGAGAGCAAATAGGCTTAGAAAACTTAAGGTGATGTGCTCAACAGAGGAGGTTGACCAGCAGAAAATTGTTAGGCATGTCTTCCAGGCTGGGATACAGGCAACACATCCTGAATCTGACTCCCAGGAGAAGACTGCACATGGTGGAGCCTTGTAACAAGATGTTCGCCTCTCATTGCCATCCCCAGTAATGATGGAGTCAGTGGACTCAGGGAGAAATGCCACCTAGCAGTTGGAGTGTGATGAGGACTTTGGCTTCTGAGTTTCCCTTCTGGGGCAGCTTTTTTTTTTTTTAACAATAAGTTAGAGAGTTTGATTTTTAATTTTTACGTATTTATTTTAAGGACATTAGCATTCATATTTTAGACTCAGACACAGGGTTTTCTGGGTCACACGATCCCTCCATTTTGTTTCCTCTGAAGACTCCTGGTAGCAATCACAATTATAATAAGCAACCATGTTGACATATAAGATTAGCAAACCAAATATTGCTAACATAGAGGGGACAGAGGGAAGGACTAGGAACTGTCATTGTTGCTGTAGGAAAGGTAGATACAAAATTTGAAGTTTCACTAAAAATAATAGACCTTGCAACTCTTTTTTCTTAGAAATTTGTTATTCACATTTTAAAAAATATGGATAAAATATACAAGGATATAATTATGTCACTATAGTAACAAAAAACTGTGAATAAGCTAGATGATTATTAGTTGAAGATTAGTATGAAATTAAGTATATTATTACAAGGGGATACAGTGCACAGTGTATCATATACCAGCATTTCTGTATGTGGTTTTCTGTATCGTGCAGGTGTATATAAATATACAGTTTTGTGGCATAAACAAGTATATGTAAAATTTACATGTAAATATGGAAGGGCTCTAGACCAGAGAGTATGTCTGAACAGTACTCAGTGTTGGCTCCAAGAGGATGGGACCTGGGTGGTGGGAAGAGTGTCAGGGTGCTTAGTTTTTCTTGTCTTTTCTTTTTGGTTTTTCGAGACAGGGTTTCTCTGTGTAACTTTGGAGCCTGTCCTGGAACTAGCTCTTGTAGACCAGGCTGGCCTCAAACTCAGAGAGATCCGCCTGCCTCTGTTTCCCAAGTTGGGATTAAAGGCATGCGCTACCACCGCCTGGTTCGGTGGTTGGATTTTCATTAATTATATTTTGTATTTTTTATGTTTAGTATCTTCTTTAAAACATTTTAATGAACAAAGCCACCAAATGAAGTATTCCATCAGGCCTAGTAAAAGTAGAAAATAAAGCAATCAAGAGGACCAGGATATTCGGTTATGCCTTGATGTTATAGTAGCAGAACTGACTGAATAAAAACTATCTCCACAGTGTAATGTTACCTTTGATTTGAGCTGACACACACATGCAGAATGTGTTTCAAAGAACCATTTGCTTTCAGTATGTCTTTGTAATTTGTAATAGTATATTCTTCATTCTTTAGATTTATTTATTTTTATTTTTTGTGTGCATTGGTGTTTTGTCTTCATGTATGTCTGTGTGAGGGTGTCAGATCTCCTGGGACTGGGGTTACTGACAGATGCGAGCTGCCATGTAGGTGCTGGGAAATGAACCTGGGTCCTCTGGAAGAACAGTCAGTTTTCTTAACTGTTGAGCCATCTCTCCAGCCCCCTATTCATCAAATTTTTGATGATATGCCGTAATATAAAACACAACCAGATCAATTATGGTTTTCAGAAACTCTTATTTTAAAAATGGGAAAGATGATATGGAAGATAAGTATGAGAGAGAGAGAGAGAGAGAGAGAGAGAGAGAGAGAGAGAGAGAGAGAAAGAGAGAGGAAGGAAGGGGAGAGTTAGAGAATAGCAGTGGTGGGTGGGGGTGGGGTTGAAGGGAATGCCTGTGTCAAGTTTCTGTCCTTTGGGATTAAAGGATCCTATCTAAGTGAAGATGCAGTTTGAGAAACAAAGGAAAATATTCCTTTCACTGCTTTGTTTTTAATTACTCTGAGAATCATTGTCAAGTGGTTTTGTTGAACTCTAGTTGCACTGGAAGGGAAAGACTAAATCATAGAAATATCAGGTTTAATCTTAGCCGTATTGCGAGTGTATTTACCGTGTGAATAGTTACAGTACTCTAGGATTCCCAGCCTTGCTGAAATCAATATGTCACTGACTTCTCAATGCAGAATTGCATGGAATAGAAATTTTAAGGGGCTCAATTGGACTCACAACAGACATATAGTTCTGCAGAATCACCTTCATCTGTTCTTTGGTTTCCTTCAGGGTAAACGGGAAGCTGGTGGCTCTAAAGGTGATCAGGCTGCAGGAGGAAGAGGGGACGCCGTTCACGGCCATCAGGGAAGGTAGGCACTCTGTCCTTTCTCTGATTCTGTTTTTATGTGGTTTTCATAGCACGGTGAGTATGGTACAAGTTACACTGCTAAGTAAGTGTCTCATATGATTGTGTAAACTATAATTTAAAAAATTAAGTAGCTTTTGCAATCATACCAAGTCATATTAAACAAGACAACACCATCTTTTTGTATTCAGATTTGTGGGGGGAAAATTCATGGTGGGCTCTCTAGGCAACTGGAGAATATTTTTATGTCTGATTCTGTTTGCAGCGCTACTAAAATACTAAATAATGCACTACTGAATATTAAATACTAAAATGCTAAAATGTCAGAGTGGCATTATTATAGATTCATGATTTTTAAAGGAAATTCTTAAAAATGAAGGATTATGCTTACCCTGTTGCTCATTTGCCTTTCCTTTTTCTTGGTTTCCTTATTTTTCATTTCTTTCCTCCTTTCTTTTGCTGTTGTTTTAATTCTTCTCTTATATATTACATTTCAATTATGGTTCCCCTCCCTCTACTCCTCCATACTTCCCCTCATTCCCTCTCCCCTGGACCCAATCCACCTTCTGTTTTCCTTCAGAAAAGAGGAGGCCTTTTAGACATATCAACTGAACACTGGGTAAATAACTAGTCACATTAAGATTAGGCACATATTAAGGCTGGACAAAGAAAGTCAGTAGGAGGAAAAGGGCCACAAGAGCAGGTGAAAGAGTCAGAGACACCCCCATTCCCACTGCTAGGAGACCCACAAAAACACCAAGCTGTACAACCATAACCTATATACAGAGCCTTACAGTCTCTCTGATTGTTACTTTAGTCTCTGTGAGCCCCTTTGTGTGTGTCCTGATTGGTTGGTACTGTTCTCCATGGTGTCCACTCTGGCTCCTACCGTCTTTCCTCTCTTCTTCTGTGGGATTCCCTAAGCTCCACCTAATGTTTGACTGTGGGTCTCTGTATCTGCTCCCAACAGATGCTGGATGATGCCCCTCTGATGACAAGTGGGCTAGGCAGCAATCTATGAATCTAGCAGAATATCACTAGTAATCATTTCGTTGACTTGCGTGTGTGAGAGAGAGACAGAGACAGACAGACAGACAGACAGACACACACACACACACACACACAGGGGTGGGAGGAGAAAGAGAGAGTCATGTTTGGGTTCTGTTGTAGGTCTCTGGACTGTCCAGTTTCTGATTCCTGTCCATGCAGGCAGTGTCAGGTCAGGCTTGGTCTCCCTTTTGTGGTGTGGGCCTCAAGTTGGACCAATCTCCACCACCATAGTTCTTATCCTTTAGTCTGCATTGGTTGTCTCATTCCCTTAGTATTACATATGTTGCAATATTTTCCCATTGCTATTTTTTAAAAAGTTCTCTCATAATTCAGTATAGTCCTTATGGCTTTAGTTTTATGAAATAAGGTTGAACTGTCTTCTGCCTTTTTTGTTTATGTGTAAGAGGGTTTCTGTTATTTATGAGAGTCATCTTATTCGTGGGAAGTTTTCAGTTCTGTCATAACTATTAGGGTTAGTAACTTCACTTTTACCTCTTTGAAAAATGCAAATTCTCTTTACCTAAAAGCTACATCTTCTGCTGATCCAAGCGATGTATCAGTGTTTTGCCACCTAGTTTTGACAAATTAAGTATACTCTGTCATATCTGGTTTGTCATTTGATGATGATAATGCTGAGACGCTTCTTCCCTCTCTTCCTCTTTCTAGTCTTCGTCTTTGCCCTAATTGTAGTTTCTATTGCTGTGATACCACATCATCACCAAAGACAATTTGGGGAGGAAAGGACTTTTTATTACACTTCCATATCACAGTTCAAGGAGGTTAGGCAAGAAACTCAAAGAGGGCAGGAATGTGGAGGAGGAGCTGATGCTGCTTATTGGTCCTTATGGCTGGCTTATTTGATTTCTTTTACACCCCACGACCACCTCCACGGGTGATACCACCTCCAGTGGTCTGGGCCCTTCCACTCCAATCATCAATGTACAACAGGCTAGGCTAGAGTCCAGTCTGGGAGGGCATTTTCTCAGTTGAGGCTCCCTCTTCCAAAACGACTCTGGCTTGTGCCAGGGTTTCAGAAAACTAGCCAGTACACACTTGTTCTGTTTTCTCATCTCATTCTTCCTTTCATTTCCTTGCAGTTTGGCTTTCTTCATTACTGTTTAGCTGAAACATCTTAGAAAATGTATCCATTGCCTCTTTATTATATACCAAACCTTCCGTTTTCTGATTCTTTTCTCTAACTTTTTAGTAGATTGCACATGGTTGAAACCATCTTTCCTGCAACGGCAGACTCCAGGTAGGGTCAGTTTTTCTCTTTGCTTTGTCTTGCCTTTTAGGTTTGTAGAACCCGAGGAGAGAAAAAAAAAAAAGCCTGCTTTTCTCTAGTAAGCACCATTCCTGGATAATTTTATTCATTCCCTAAATTTAAACAGCAGGTATAAGCTGTTGACTTCCATACTTGTGTTTATCTAGTTAAGACCCTGCCTTTGTGTCCATTTCATACATCTGTCTGCCTCCTTGGAATTTTCCCTTGAATTCAACAACCTCTAAAAAGAGTAAGCTATCACTGCCAAGTAAAACTAGTATAACAAATAACCTAAACCTTATATCCAAACATAATTCTGGTCCATCACATCCCATTCAGTATTCTCTATATGAGTAAAGGTCATGTCCAGCAAATTAACCAAATGTGGTTCTGTTGGGTCCATCTCTCAAGGTAGCTCACATCTGTCCACAGCTGAGTCTCCTCCCTGTATCGCAGGATTCCTTGGATTGTTGCAGGAACTTTTGCATTATACTCTCCCCTCCTTTGTCATCCTATTGGTTCTTCTTTACTGTGAAACTATTATAATCTAATTATGTAAGCCATGTTTAATTAGTCCCACCTTTAAAAACCTGAACCCAGTACTCTGGCTGCTTTCCTTTCAACCCTCCCAGAGTGTCCCATCTTAGGGCCCTCACATACACTCTGCCTTTGTCTAGAATACTCTTCATTGACCAGGTTAGGTACCAACTACAAACTCGTATGTTCTCGTCTCAGAGAAATTTCCTATCACCATCCTGTCTACAGTTGCAGCTCGCTATTACCGTACCCACCTTTGTGCAGCTCACCATGCTGATAACCCTGTTCATTTCCATTGCCGGTCTTACTGGAATGTGCATTGTTCTCCCTCTCCTCTCTGTTCATGTAGAACTTTAATGAGGTTAGTGACCTTGTTTGACACCCGCCCTGCAACAGCTACTGAGTGGCTTTCAGAGCTAGAGTCAGTAAATAAGATGGAGTATTCGATACAGATGGCACTCCTGAGGAATCTGTCATCCAGGTGGCAGGCAGAAGATTGAAATAATACATCAAAGAATAACACGCCATGCCATATAAATGCCAAATCATTTCTGAAGTATCGTGAATTCCCAGAAAGGTTCTCCACTGGTGAAGTGTGCTAGGATGTCGGCTGGACCTAGAGGCAGAAATCTGATGATAAACTGTGGGGTCTGGATGGAGGAGATGCTGTCTGGACCGGCACACAGAATGACTGGGGGTTGAAACTCAGTGACTTTCAGGAGCAGGGATGGTTGCCATGGGCTGCTCTCAATGCTGGTCACGTGGCAGTAGGGGGTATTGTGCCATTGGAGGATTTAGTTTATACATGTGGAGTTCTGCGTTCGTGAGATATCTATATGAAATATCTGTTGGTGTGGGGTTGGAGCTCCCAGCAGTTGACTATAAACAACACATTTAGTAAGACCCTTAGAATCATAAAATCTTTAGTTTTATTTAGTTAAATTTAGAACAGAGATTTATTTGAGTCGATATTCTGGAAAATGGAAAGTGTAAAAAGCATGGCTATGGCCCCTGAGGTGCAGAAGGGCGGCAGTTGAGGGCAGAGGAAGAACAAGAGCAAGTTCAATGTTTTTGAGGCCAAGAGCTTTTGGTAGTTGAAAGTTTTTGAGGCCAAGAATTTTTGTTGCAAATGAGAAATTAACTGTTAGTCGGGGTAATCTATAGAGAGTGGTTTTTGGAGTCTGGAGTTCTGGGTTTTGACTGTTTCTTTGCCTTTCATCACAGTACTGTCAGGCTCCTTTGACAGAGTATCTTAGAAGGTGCATTGCATAGGAGTAGATATTGCTTCATCATTTTGGAGGCCAGAAGGCCAAAGCCACAATACCATGATACCCTTTCTACAAACTGAGAGAGATAATCTGTCCTAAGATCCCTCCTTGGCTCCTAGACAGGAGGCTTGTCCCTGTGTCTCTAGGTTTTAAGTCTGTGCCTGTCTGCATACAAATGTCTTCTTTCTCTAAGGACACTGGTCATACTGAATTAGAGGTTACCCTGAAGATCTTATTTTACCTTAGTTACCTCCCTGCAGACTCACAGCCAGCTACATACTGGAGTTATGACTTCAGCATGCAGTGTTGTTGTTGTTGTTGGGGAAGGGTACATTTCAGCCCATAATACCACTTAATAGTTTGGGACCCTAGAAACCTTATTTGCGGAAGGTAGGTGTTGGCTTGTGTCATTGGTTGTAGACTTTCTATATTGACATGATTCTTCTGATTTCCTGAGGATTCTTGCAGTTCAGATATTTCAGTGTCCATGTAATGGAAAATGGTGAAAAAATTGTTGAGGCCTGGGATGGCCCATCACAAAATGACATTGTGTTTCCTTTATATACAGTATTCCGAAGTCTCTACAATGTAGTCTGACTTCTAAATGATTTGTTTACATTTTATGTGTATAATGTTTGCTTGCATATAGGTGTAGGTACGATGTGAGTGTTTAGTGACTGTAGAGGCCCCGAGGGAGTGTGAAGTCCCTTCCTGGAGCTCCTGACGGGGAGCCACATGTGAGTGCTCAGAACTAAACTTGGCCACTCTGTAAGAGCAATGAATGTTCTAAAGCTCTGAGCCGCCTCTCTATCCCCTCTGTTGTCAGGAGAAGTGAAATGACGTCATGGTAATAATAAGATTGAAACAGTGGGTCAGTTTTAGATG